ATAGTATTAGTGACGTGAAGTTGAGTGTGGTGCTGCCACATTACTTTTGTTTTTCTCACATTTTTTATTTTTCTTGAATGGTGGTATAATATTATGCTCAAAATTGGGACTACGCTTTTGTGTTATGCTATCAGTTTTTAGGTGTTGTAGTTTCTTAAACAGTGTACTATTCTTGATCATTTCTTCTACTAAAATATTACTATGTATGTAGTTGTTTTAATTTATTTATGGTGTTACATAATTAGTGCTATAGTTTCTTGTTTTCATCAGAATACATCCATTTTCCTGATATGTTCTTTCTATCGTTTTTTACCTAAATCTTATGGCTCTTCTTAATGGCTTCGAAATCTTTTTTCAATTGTAACAACGCTAATTTATTTTCTTGTCGAGCTAAGATTATGTTTTCTTCAATAAAAATTGGTGCGTCATGAAATTTTCTACCATTTTTTAAAAAATCTTTCGTCATTTTCGAGAGTGCCTTCATTTCACTTGTGTTTTGTATCTTTCTTTTGCCTTTGACTATTACATTATGATATTTACTCTGATCGATCAGTGTTTCATTCCGGTTCTCATCTCTCTTAATTCTTAGTTGTTTGATTTCAAAGCATTTTATTTTCTTTTTTCAGCTTCTTTATATTCGGTGATACATTGCCCAGTTCACCCACCTATGTCGCTCTATGTTAGCGTAACTATTTGCGAGTCAAAGTTATTAGTCAGACCTCTAATATTGGACTTCAGTTTTTCTGGCATTTGATGAATAGCTTGCATAACATCGCCGAGAAAAAGTCTGGTTATGTTCCGATCGCAATAAAATTTTTTTATTAATTATAACTATTTTATTTTTAAGTAAATATTAATTATTATTACTAATTTTATTTTATTAGCTAAAAAAATTAATTTAATTTTATTAAATAATTATAACTAATAAAATGTTATTATTATTAACTTTACTCACCGCATTCAAAAGCATAATAATAGACCTTTTCGGTGGCTCGCAAGTATAGCAAGAAATACATACTGACCTATATTGGCTACGCGAGACATTAGTATCAATATTGCAATTTGTCAAATGTTTTAGTTTCACAAACAGCAAATTTCTAGCATATGTGCACATAATGCAAGCAAATTACATTTTATATAAAAATAAATAATTCATATAAAATGAATACAGAATTAAAAGGCATGGTAAAAATGTTGGAAATTTCAAATTAAAACACTAACATTTTTCTATTTTTTTCCAAATTCCAAATATATGAAATTTTTGTATTTTGTTTGAATTTTTGTTTACATATGATTTTTGATATATGTTTGCAATATTCGTTGGATTTTCCATTGAAGGTTTACAATAGTTCGCTTATTGCTTGGGTAATACTATTATTTACTGGCTGATATTATTTTTCCTGTCCTCTTTTCTATTAATAGTTCTCTATATGCTTTTTAGTATGTAGAAGCTCTCTTGATTAAGGTCTGGATTGTTTGTTATGGGTTTTTCCTTATCTATTATATTATTGTCACATTATCTATCACTGCCTTATGTTTGGTCTCTGGTAATGAAATTGTTTTCTTACTTGTTTTGATATTATTTCGCTACTCCTTTATTCGGGTGCGTAATGTCCATTTTATTCTTCCAAATATATTTGTTTGCAAGCTTTATTTTAGCAGTTTTCATGATATACTACATTGGATTCTTGTTATGGATCTAAACGTTATCTTGATCTTGTTAAAAAAATTCTTTAAGTTGTTTACTGAAGATTGTGTCATTATTTCCTTTAAAACTATATTTCCATTTAATTTTGGGATGTATAGATATATTTTCGGAAATATGGTATGGCGCCTGTTTGGTTTTATTTTTGTATCTGAGTTCGTGGGGTTTGATTTGTTATTATTTTATTGATAATGTTTTTATGATAATCGTTGTTGATGAGTCTGTGGTTGATTTCTTTTCAGTTATATAAATTAATTTTTCATCACATAGTTCGATATTATTTCGAATTTGGCTTCTTGCGGTACTAATTTTTTGGTGCTGTGATTGGTGAGACCAAAAATTTATCATTCTATCAAAAGAGATACGTTTTTGTATCATTAAAAACGTCTGTCGTGTTACCGACTATTCTCTTTATTTACGATTATAATTTTTAGTTTATTAGCTAGATAAAAATTACAATAACCACTATAATATGGATAAAATTACAACAACCAATATAATGTAGATGAAATTACAATATTAGATGAAACCCGATATCTTAACCGTATTGTAGAGATATTACCTCCTTAAGAGCTCAGACCGAACAACTGATTGTGCCGTGGCACGCGTGCTTATGTTGATTTTTCAAACGAAACTTTCAACAGCGATGCCAAAACATCACTGTTGTAAATTATAAATCGTTTTTAGAACCAATTTTCAATTTTATATTAATACTGTGCTTAGGTCGTTAATTGAACAGATAAAAATTAAAAATGTTTTTTTTAAATAAAAAATTGCACTTTGTGTTAAATATTTAATTGTATTTTAATTTTTATAAAAAATTATTCATATTACAGATATTTCGGTCTCCTTTTTTCTATTTTTGATTTCAATCGTTTTTTCTAAATTTATTTTTTTTTTTTTTTGCCTTGTTAAATTTAAATGTTAAAAATGTGAAACGGTCAACAATGTTTGTCTTTTTGGTTTTTTGTTTTGGATAAATGTTTATTTACATGTATTTAAATAATTTCTTTTATTTATTATTGTACACTAAAGATGGTTTACAAAAACACATTTTATTTAAATTTTGTGTTAAATTAACGACCTAAGCCCAGTAATAAAAAAAAACGAACTTAAAAGTTTTTCATTTAGATTCATAGGAGTCTTTAAAAACACAAATAATTCTAAAAAAGTGGGCTCGTCACTATTTTAATGAAAAATAGGTATTTTTATTTCCTAAAATTAAATTTAACAAAATATTTTTATAGCTTGCATATGAAGTAAATTTCAATAGGTGCTTTCGGGGCTTTGGCATCACTGTTGCAATCTCTTGAATATTATGTTTTCACAAATAGCAAATCTTGCATATGCAAGCAAATTTCATTTTGCGTAAAAATAAGTAATTAATATAAAATTGAATATTAAAATAAGTAATGAATTAAAAGCAATGTTAGGAATGCAGAAAATTGTGAAATTTCCCTTTACAACAAAATTAATAATAGTTTACAATATTTACAATATTTATTCAATATACAATATTTATTACTTATAAGTGAATAAATTGAGAGTGGTTTTCAATTATACTTTTTTCGTGTACTCATATAAATTTTTGTTTATATTTATGTACATATTTTTAAAATATCTACAATTTTGCACATTTTTTTCCACAGTTATCATATTTGTGAAACTTTGTAAGTTTGTTTGCATTTTTGTCAACAAACTTTTGACATATGATTGGAATATTCGTTGAAATTTCTAACGAAGGTTCACAATAGTTCGCTTATTGCGTTGGTAACACTTTTTTCTTTAGTGGCCAATCAGTTGCATGCTTCACGAATGTCATTTTCCGGTATTTTGGAATATTCCTGAACAATGGATTTATTCAGTGTATCCATACTGACATATATTTTAGTCCGCACATTACTCTTCAAAATGGCCCAGATGGAATTGTCCATCGGATTTGCATCTGGCGAATTCAAAACCAATTGTGGATTTTTTAACCATTCTTGGTTAACACGAGCTTTAATAGACGGTGCGGAGTTTTGTTGGAACGTCCATGATCTACAACTGAAATGTTTCTTTAAAACCCACGGCTTTAAAGAAACTTCCAAAACATTTTTCCGATAATAATTCGCATTGACTTTGCCACGAGGCTCGATGAAAATAATTGAAGATATAGCATTACTTGAGATGGAAAATTACAATTTTTCGTTGCTTTGACAAACGGAACATATATCAAGATATCAAGGGTACATAGCAAGACAGACTAATGAACAGAAAGGAAGACTGTTATAATATAATTGCAAGCCACCTGTTCTTGTTGCTCTAAAGACAAACCCACCTTCTTTTATTGCGATTTTGTTTTATTTTTTAATTTTTTGTCATTAAGTTTTTTTTTTGTTTACTGCTAAGTTTTTAAAAAAACATATCTAGGTAAAAAATTCACAATATATAAATGCCAACTTATACGGCATATTCACTGGCCGAAAATGGCTCATTTTGGTCAAAAATCGAAAATGAGAAGCGAATGGCTCATTCTTGCATATAAAATATCAAGCGCGAATGAGCCATTCCATCACATTCTGTATGAATGCGTCCCAACGATGTTCGCATGCGTTCCAATTATGTTCTAAATGCAAAGGAATACATTGAAAATACTCTAAATAAAAGCTCTTCATTGCATTTTGACAGTTTTAGAAAGCTGTTTTTGAGATATTTACAAAAAAAAGGTAAGCAAATGTTTGGTGGGGTTGCATTTTTTTCAAAACGATGCACCTCTTTTTAGAACTTCTACTTCCCAAAAAGTAATTAATCGAAGTTAAAAATATGTTTTAAGTTTATATTGTAAGGTTTGAAGGCATATTTAACTATACTTTTTTTTTTTTAATTATTTTATTATTTAAGGTATTAAAGGACAATAAATAAATAAAACAAAACAAGACATAAAGCAACTAGTTATTAAATAACTAACAAGCAATTTAAATTTAAACAGATTTAGGCGATTCTACGCAATAATAAATCAAATGTAGTACATTTCAATAATTTAAGTCCATATTTAACCTTCATGCAAAATTTTATTTCATTTTCATAAATTTAAAAAAATCTTGTGAATTTAAAAAAAATATTTTTTTTTTTCACTTTTATTTGAAGTATCCTTCAAGTTTCAATAAAAAGTAATTGAAATGAGTATGACATTGAATAGTATCAAATTATTGTGATAGATTATACTTCTGTTAATACTTTTGTTAATATTAATTTAGTAATTTCTTTTCTCATAAGTAGTTTTGATCAAATTTCTTTATATCTTTAATTGCAGTTATTTCGGAACATGCGTAACTCTTGGGCAGAAGTTGAAAGTTTGGAGCGTCAAAAACGTTTTCGTGAGGCACAGAACAATATCTGAAGAACTAACACGTGGAATAAATTAATTTAATACTAAGAAATATGTTGTGAATAAAATTATTACTGCAAAAACTTGATTTATGAAAATTTCGAAAAATTCATGTTGACATAATGTTCTTAAGTTTTCGAATGTATTTTGAAGGAATAATATTAATCCTTTTTATTGATTAGAAAAAAATGCCTTATGAAATTTTCTTTTTCTATAACATATAAACAATTAAAAATGTATAATGTAATACATTGTAATTAATGACCATAATGTATAAAATGTATAATGAAAACAAATAAGATAAAAAACTTTTGTAAAAGTTATAAAAATAAACATCAGAAACTTTATATTGTATATACACATAATAAAATTTTTTTTAAATATATATAATTAATTTTTTGCTTATTAAATAGAATGTATTATGTATTATTTTAATAAAATAACTAAAATAAAATTATATATAATAGTGTATTTCAAAAGTGAATTTATTTTTTTCGAGAACAAATAGTATGTTTGTAATTGCAATATTGATATTATGTACAGCACACTGTACAGAACTCTTAAGTATGGTTTTATTCCAAAAAAAGATGAAATCTGTTTTTACACCATTCTTGAGGCAACTTAGCAAAAGTTGTATATTCAGGCAGATGGTAATGAAAATAAAAATAAGTGACAAGAAGTGAAGTAATAATGAAAGCAAATATTGCAACTTCAATCAGTTGGAGCTTCGTTACAACTGGGCTCATATTGGCATATGCTTTTATATAGTTAAACAGGTAGACTAAAACTATAGTTTAGATTTATCTTAAAAAAACAGATTTCTGCTTCACTGTACGTATATAAATATACCTTGAACTAAACTAATGAAACGTATGTGGGCGATACCATTTAGGAATCTATACGTGGCCATGAAAATATGTTTTATCTGATTTAATAGATATTTCAAGACACGTAAACCTGATTTCATGTCCACCTGGTAGCTTATATAGGATGTTTTTTAAGCTGTATGAGAACCTAAAATGATAATACAAGACAGAAATATTGTTGGGATAAAATTTATTTTTTTATAATCTGGTAAATAATTCTACGGCATTTATTTTTTGAATATAATTTCTGGCATATGTCCACCGCGGCTACGAGTTACGTGGTTCATTCGATCACTCCAATTTTTGACTATTTTCTGCAATAAATGTGACTGTATAGCGTCAATGGTAGTATGAACATTGGCTTCCAATGATTCGAGTTGCTCGTTTGTTGGCATAAACCAATGACTTCACATAGACCCATATCCATGAAAAGTAATGGAGAGGCGTTAAATCGCACGGACGGAATCGAACAGAATCTCTTCTAGAAATAAAGTTGTTACCAAATTGATTTCGCAATAAAATAATTGTTAAGCGCAATGTATAGCATATTGCGCCGTATTATTGGAACCAAACGTCGTCGATGTTTAACTAATTAATTTTTGGAAACAAAAATTCAGTCCGTATGTGTCAACAATACTCGCGATTCGCCGGAACGACAGCTCCTTTTCCTCATTTCGAAAGAAATAAAGACCGATGATGTCGCCAGCGTCACAACCGCACCAAACAGTTAATTTAAATGGATGTAATGGTGATTCGTTAAAAGCTTAAGAATTATCTTCGCTCCGTATACCGAAATTTTGCTTATTGACGTAGCCATTATGTTAACCGTAAAATGGATGAAGCATGAATTTTGCGAATAGATTTATTTTTATAAAGTAACTTTTTACAATTTGGAAGCGTTAAACGGTTCATGATGAATTGTTGAACTTTACTGAACAGTGTGACGACTATAACAAATGACCACCTCGCCACAATAAAAAATTAAAATACTTTATTATTAAGTAAGTGTAAAATTAAATCAAGTTATTATTAAGTTAATGTAAACTATTATTAAAATTAAGTCAAGTTATTAAGTTAATGTAAACTGTTAATAAAAATTCAGTTAAAATAACCAGCGTAGCTCAGTCGGTAACGCTGATTCCTAGCAACGTAGCCCAGTCAATAACGTTGATCCCCAACCTAACAGCGTAACCCAGTTGGTAGCGCTGATTCCTAGCAACGTAGCCCAGTCGGTAACGGTGATTCCCAGTCTACCAACATAGTTCAGTCAGTAACGTTGGATACTCTTCCTAACACTAATTGAGTTTTCCTAATTCAGTAAGAATTTTTTACTTGAAAAATTATTATTTTGGTAATAGGCAATAAATATAGTGTAACAAAAAATATATAATAAATAAAAATTACACTTAAAATTAACCAATGGTTTAAAATTATTATACTACGAAAAGATTCAGGGTTACAGAAGAATATTCTTGTAACACCCCGGGAAGATCGTGAGCTATCCCAGAAATGTCAACATAGTTTAACATTCATAGTTGTCAAATCATAGTTAGCAATATCGGTAGTTCTCATGCAGCTAATGAAAAACCCTATGTAAACGAAATGATAGCTATGTATATACATATATAGTAGAAAAAATCTGTGTCTACCCACAAAATTTTTTCTTAAATTTCGCATAACTTAATTAATTTTTACTAAAATTAATTTCTGTTTTCTGATTTATTTTAACAAATAAAAAAACAACGATGAAGTTCAAACATAAAATATTAATTATTCTTTAAAAAAAATTAAACACAATTATATGCAAAAGTAACAATTTTTGAAGTAGAAAAAGTCGGCGTACGTGAACAGGCACAGCGAAAACTAGACGTCGAAAAGCTGCAATCACAACAGACAACTAGTCACTTCGCCACGACTCTTTTATTATCTGAAAAATGAATCTGAAGAAAGCGCAATGGAACTACATCTCCAATTCTACAGAGGTGATTGCTTGATTGACTATTACTGTTGACAAAGAACAGCTGGTACAACCAAGAGTGTCTTGATGCCACCACAGAAAAACACGCAGTATTTTAAGTTACCCTGCGGTCAGTTGCGATGCTCGGAGCTAAAGAACGATATCGCAAAAGAGAAGTAGAGTGAAACGAATTTTCAGGTGAAAAAAGAAAGAAATAGAAAGACGTGAGTTTAAAGAGCTTGAGAAGCTGGGCAACAGAATATGGCGAAAACTCTACCAAAAATTAAAAGCCTGACTAATTGTTATAAACTCGGAGTTAATTCCTGCGAAGATGAAAATAGTAGTCTGGTGATAGATGTCCAAAGCATGCATAACATTTAGAGGGATCACTTCTCGAACCTACTAAATGACGTTAGTAGTGATGTGATTGAAAGCGAAGATGATCCCGAATTCGCAATCATTGACGATTAAATAATCGTCCCGCCCTTCGATTATAATGAAATTAAAACAGCTATAATGCGGCTCAAAAACAACAAAGCTACAGACGCCGATGGTTTACCGACTGAGCTGTTTCAAGCTGGTGACGAAGAGCCATCAAAAGGCATGCTACAGCTAATTCGCAACATATGGTCAGATGAATGCATGTCCAACGATTGGAATTTAAGTGTGCTTTATCCTATTTTTGTAAAATAATATATTACAAATCATTTATTTTAATTAGATTTATTCCATTATTTTTGTTTTGTTGTCAAAGCGAATTTTTATTCTCATAGTGTTAATGACTTGATGTCTTAACCTTGAATGGTGGGTTAAAATATCAACATTTATCAAAAACAACAACAACAGTTGTATATCACACGAGCACACTGTGCTCCTCATATGAAACTGCAGATAGGCCATGCATATGGCATGTGCAAATTTTAATACAGAACATTATGAGAAATAAAAATTCGTTTGTGCAAGGTCAGTATTATAATTATTAAAATAATAATTATGTTTGTAAAGCAAGCTGGTATATGGACTTAGTTCAAAATTAAAAGAAAATAAGTTTATAAGCATATACCAGGTTGCTAAGGAAATTATTTGTTATTCGTAAATGCACACAATTTCCATGAGAACTGTGACCGTTCCCACGACTAAGCTACTTTAATGCAGCTTAAGGTATAGGGCATTATCGTGAGAATTGTATGTATCAACACCTTGCCAAATTTTTATAAAAACCTAAATTTTTAGTAATAAAACTCAATTCAATTCTAGGATTCATTGTGGTCTTAAGTCGTTTCAAGTGCTTATTAAGATTCAAGCAAATAGGTTCAAGTGCCTAGTTGCTAAAAACAATTCAAAAACAATTACTCTGAAGTTGGTTCAAGTGCCAAATTCAGCAATTGTAAATAGGAACTGGTTCAAGTGCCGGATTCCTAAGCAACACTGAATCGATTCAAGTGTCGAGTCAATTGCAATAACAAACGAGTTATTGAACATTTTTGGTGACCCCGACGTTATACATCACGTCCAACTTCAACATTCAATCAAACTAAAAGACGTGACACATCACGTCCAACATCAACATTCAAACTAGAAGACGTGACACATCACGTCCAACATCAACATTCAAATTAAAAGATGATCCATCACGTATTGACACTATCATCAATCAAATTCAATCAACAATCAAATACTGATGACCATGGAGGTGCTTACCAATCAACAGGTGGAGACGGGTATTGAAATCCAGGACATCGTAAAGAACTTCAAGAAGGATGGTAAGGCAAGAAAGACCAAAGCCTACTATGAAGAACGACTGAGGCATTTAAACTCAGTGGGAATCGTTGACAACAAAATACAGAATCTTGATCCTGTTCCAGTCGAACACGACTACATAAAAAAGGAATATTATCAGTTGATCCTGAATCTTTACAGTCGGCAATTTGAAATAGCCATTAAACAGTTTGATTAAGAAGAAATAGTCGAGATAATGACTGTTCCATCAACATCAAAGGTTGGGCACACAAATGTTCCAGCTATTGCAACAACACATTCCTCAAAAGAGTCGGCCACAACAACACGTCAACCGATGCAGTCACAATATAGCGCGAGTATAGCACGAATGATACACAAACAAGGTGCAATTTGTGTATCACTGCAGTGACTCATAGCAGGCATCAATCATCAAACAGGCATTCAGATGAAAGCATATTACGAAGTAAATATGGTAAGAATTTAGAAGCTATGGAATGAGATTGAAGCTATTAATTTTGAAACTTGGGAATACACCAACAATCCGACTACAGTGGGATATAAAATATATAAATATCTTGAAATAAAGGAATTGGTTCAATCAACCTTAATTTCGCTAGCTTCAATGAAGACAAATGATGAACAATCACAACAAGAAATCAATAAATCAAACAGAGCCGGCATATCGCTGCCCAAGGTAACCATACCGAAATTCGACGGCGATTATCTGAAATGGGGTCAATTCTATGATTTGTTCACTGAAATGATCCACAAGCAGCAGCTTCCTGACGCGCAGAAAATATGGTACCTCAAGGGGAGTTTATCATGAAAAGCAGAAGGTTTAGTCCGACACCTGTCAATAACCAACGAGAATTATCAAACGGCGTGGAATTTGCTACAAGAACGATATCATAACAAAAGGATAATTGTAGCAACAATCATCCAAAGAATTCTAAATCAACCAATCCTTCAGTGGCAGAAATAAGGACACTACATGATGTTACATTTGAAGGATTACTGGCCCTGAAAAATGTGGGACTCGAAACTGATGCATGGTCACCGCTACTGCTTCATAATTTGCTCCTCAAACTAGATAAGCAGGCTCGCATTTTGTATGAACAGTCGCGAACTTATCCAAGAGAGATTCAGTCGCTTACGGAGTTCATGATTTTCCTGGAATCAGGATTCCAGTCCTTAGAGGCGATTGGCCATAGGGAGAAGCCATGCCCAGCAAATATCCTTGCCACAACTATGGGAAAGGGAATCATGTCAAGCTACAAGGTTTGCAATAATGGATCACATCCACTGTACTATTGCAAAAAATTCTTGCAGTCAACATCACAATGTCGAAAATTGTAATTCAAATTAATTAATTCAGAACAATCAACAATCCAAACTTTCGTTGCCCATCGTATTAGTAAAATTCGGCAATTAATACTAAAGGAACAATGGAAACAGGTCAACACTAAACAAAATTTACCTGATTTATTATCCAGAGGAGTAGATCTAATTCACATTCAGAAGAGTACAATGTGATTCTACAGTCTAGTTTTCCTGCACAGAAATCAAGAATGTTGGTCCCAACCATTCCGGCAGGAGTTAATAACATTCAACCAACTACAAGTAGAAGTCAAAAGGAAGGTACATGTGCTTACAATTTCACACGATGATGAACTAATCAAAAATTCATGAAAATTCCTTTATGAAGTTGCAATGACTTCTTGGCTACGTGTTGAAATTCATTAAAAGGCTACGTAAGAGAGACAAACACAATGACACCAATTTGACATCAATAGAACTGAATGAGTCGCTATACCTTCTGATCAAAAAAGAACGCGAGGAATGCATTTTGAGACTATAGAGCCCATAAGGTAAAAATCGCCACACGAAAATTTTTCGACTTTAGACCCCAACCAAAAACTAATCGTATGATATGCGTTACACTTTGACAGAATGTATATAATAGTGTCAGCGTGAAAATAAAAAAAATTTACCGCAGGTATTCGTGCCAAACCACGTCTTAGGTTTTTTTTACTCAGTGGCATCTCTTCTTTTGTTTTTCTGGTTTCAACTAATTGCCAAAATAATGCGCTTGGCCATTCTCTATTATTTCTTGTTCCTTTTCCTAGCACCTCAGTAGCTGCTTCTACATTGGATAGTTTTGCGTTTTCCTATAGACAACATATATCTGTTGCATTGTTAAGTCCACACCTGCGTTAAAAAAAGGTCTTTGAGCTTGGACTCTGTCAGCTGGAAAATTGCCCATGATTTGTTTAAATATGTGTAGGCGTGCTCGAGTGCATTGTACACAGTGTTGTACAATGGATCGAGCTATAACCTTGCGTTTTATTGGCCAAAATCGCTTCATGCACTGAGCTAATAATGTTTGCGGCGCAGAGTGAAGTCTCTTCTCATGTAGATTTTTTATAATGAGCTTAGCTATTGTTGTAGGAAATCAATATAATAAACGCATCGCTCTCTTGATACGCTTCTATATATTATACAATTTCGCTTTAAATCAGTCGCGTTTAAGATCGCTGCATGTTCGGATGCCCAATCGGTGGTGTTTGTTCATTTTTTTATTTGTCATATACCTATAGTTGCTTGCATTGTTGAATAAATGCTTATTAATAAATGAATTAGTTTTGAACAAAAAACGTTGTGTAAATTATTTATTTTGAAGTCTGTTGAAACTTAGTTATCAATAATAACTTAATAAACCTTAAATTTTGTTGTTTGAATATAAAAAATTTTGTTATATTGTAGTACAAGAATTGGTGCTTTGGTGGTCTGCAGATTCGTGCTGTGCGACCAACAATCTCCAACATTTTTGGCGACCGTGACAGGACGGGCGGCATCGAGAGCTGTCTTAATTGTTTATTTGGTTGAAAAAGCGGCACTTTGAACAGTTCGCTATTCGGACTTTGTACCCAAGCACATGTGTATTTGAGTGAAATTCGTATTCAGCGGTTTTTAAACACACTCGACTCAATTGCGTGCATATCATCAAACTCTTTTGGAAATTAATTATACTTATTGTTTTACTTGCAAAAATGACTCGTCGAAGAAATGACTCAGTAACTGAGCAACTCTCTTCACTAAAACAAGAGCGAACATCAGTGGAACGAAACATGCTAAGCATAAAGGCGAAGGTAGAGAAGGAATTAGCGTTTGTGGATGTTAACATTTTAGAATGTCGACTGCAAATTTTGGAATCGTATTTTACAGAAGTTTGTCAAAGACAAAGTAAAATTGAACGAGCATGTCCGGATGATGATAGGCGTAGCAAATTAGAGGACATATATGTCAGCATAAAATGACTTATTGTGTCCACAATCAACAATCATAAAATAAAGCCGATACATGAATCAAGTGTATTGAATTCGTCGATTTTAAACAACTCCTCACATCATAGTCGTTTACCAGCATTGAAATTGCCAAGATTTGATGGTAAATACAGCGAATATAAACGTTTTTTCTCTGCATTTACAAATTTAATTCACAACGACCTGTCGATAACAACAATTGATAAATTTAATTATCTTTTAAGTTGTCTTTTGGGTGCGGCGTTGAGCGTAGTACAACCATTTCAAATAACCGAGGAAAATTATACAAAGGCTCTAACGCAATTACAATTGAGATATGACAAAAAGGTCTTAATTTTTATGGAACATATTAATTCCCTTTTTTTTTATTAAAGATATGACGAAGGGCGACTCAATCACACTCAGGCATATTGTAGATACAGTGTCTGCTTTATTCGGTTCACTTCTATCGTTGGGTTCGGAAGCAGACATGAACGCCATAATTATTCATTTAGTATTGTCTAAAGTGGATAACGAAACTAAAATTTTTTATGATTCTCAGCAAGATTTTGAGTCATTGCCATCTTGGGAAAGTTGCTACGCACTTTTGAGTCGAAGATGTCAATTTCTGGAAAGCAATTCGAAAAGATGCAATAATGATAAAGTAAATGATACCAAAAATAATTCTTTTAACAGAAAATTGACCACATTTGTTAACACCAAAATCAATTGTATGAAGTGTAATGGAGGAGACCACAGCCTAGGATCATGTCCATCGTTTGTGAAACTGACTTTTAACGCTTAAATTGTCTACGCAAAGGGCACGTCGTTAAAAATTGTCAATCCACAGCTCGCTGTCGAATATGCAATGGTATGCATCATACGTGTTTGCATAAATTCAAACCCATCGAGCAAAATGTGAGACCAAATTTGTCAGACAGTCCACCTGGACAACTAAATTTTCCGCAATCTCCATCAATTTCTCTAGTATCGCGTACTAAACAACGATCATTGATTCCCACAGCTGTAGTACTTATTAAGGATAAGTACGGTTTATACCAACCTATACGAGCATTACTGGACTCTTGTTCAGAGATAAGTTTTATCACTGAAAAGATGGCAAAGCAACTTCAATTACCATTTGAGCGAATAAACCAGGAAGTGTCAGGCATTGGTGATGTTAGAACACAAATTCGCCATTCAATAACTGCAACTATAAAATCTCGAATATCAAAATTTGAATGGTCATCGCAATTCGCTGTCACTAAACGTATCTCATTGAACCATCCAGAGCAGTTGATAGACACAACATCGTGGAATTTTCCTGAAGGCCTTGTTTTAGCTGATCCATTATTTTTTAAACCACAACACATTGACTTATTAATAAGTACGCAGGGATTTTTTGAATTAATATTAGATGGGAAAATTGCGTTAGGCACCAGCCTTCCAAGTTTATTAAATACCGAATTAGGGTGGATCATCGGAGGACAATATAAAAATACGCCTACTGTCCGGGCACTCACTTGTAACTACATTCAGTCGTCTAATATAGATTCAATGTTACAAAAATTTTGGAAAATTGAAGAATTAGAAAGCGATCAAAAAATTAATTACTCTAAGGAGGAGTTGGATTGTGAGAAACATTTTGTAGAAAATACCACAATTATAAGCAATGGTCAAATACAAGTTCGATTACCATTTAAAGAGTCTCCAGAAGTCTTAGGTGAATCATTTGAAATGGCGAAACGAAGATTCCTTTCACTTGAGCGTCGATTAGAGCGTCAGCAGACTCTCAAAGAGGATTATGTTAAGTTCATGCAAGAATATTTGATGTTAGGTCATATGAGTCGTGTCGACAACTTTGACAATATCACACCACACTATATAATACCTCATCATTGCATATTGCGGCCTCAAAGTACCACAACAAAATTGCGCGTCGTGTTTGATGCATCTGCACGCACATCATCGGGTCGATCACTTAATGAAATCTTAATGGTGGGACCTACAATTCA